GTTTTGCAAGCCTAGACAACCTTGATGCTGGAGGATCCTGGATTAGCAAGCTTCTCCTGTATCCTCTATTCATTATTGTTGATCCAGACTAAGGATGGGCCCGCTGCACAGGAAGACTGGATGAGAGTCTGCCAGTGGCTGTGTGAAGACCGCAGCGCTATGCTAAGGCACGTGGTAGGGTTTAAGTGATATATCCTGTCTTAAGACTCCCCTGCAGCCTTGCCATGTGAAATAACAGTCCAGGAATACTTCCTCAGCGATGCCACCCCCTCCCTTTCTTTACCCCAATATTCCTCTACTGTTTGGCCCCCCCATCGGTTTACACAGCAGTTGTCATTAATTCTCCCTCTACTGGATTAAAGCAGTAACACAGTAATTACGCCACTGTGCTCAACGTCAGCTTGCTTTTTCAAGATCAGGAAGTAATACTGTGTGGACAAGGCTATGAAAGTTGGTTGTATATTAATTTAATTAATTAATTTCATCGATGACGCACAGCAAGAAGTGAAATGATTAGAATTAGAAACAGAATATACTTGAAATCTCTCACAGCCTTGAAAAATGCACTGGCTGACTAAATGTCCATCGGCATATGCTGCATCTGTATTCTCCCTCCCACCTGTGTTTAGACAGTAGTCGCTAAAGATTCGCCATACAGGTCAGGGCCAAGGCAAACATCCAGCATCAGCTTACACGCTCCTAATCCTAACCTTAACCTGAGGGTCAAAATGCCTACAGACTGATCCTTAAAGACGAGAAAATAGCGAGCCACGCAGAGACGACTGTCTCTTCAGTACAAGAATAACTCCTGTTCAGGCAGCTGGGGCAATTATTTCTCAGAGAAGTTAATGCCAGTTTTATTAAGCTTCACAAACGTGTAAACAGTAGGGGTGCAACGATACTCGTATCGATATTGAACCGTTCGATACAGTGCTTTCGGTTCGGTACGCATATGCATCGAACAATACAAAATTTTTAATTTATTTTATCAACTTTTCTTCTGACGATGCTGTCTGTGTTGAGCGCTCAGTGGATCTGCGCTCGACAATGCAGCCTAGGCGGAGTAGTCGAACGTAGATCCACTGAGTACAGGGCAAGCTAGCGAGACAGAAGTTAAGCTCTGGTTGCAACATAGCAAATTGAACCTCCCCCACCCTCATTCAGATCTGGCGTTTGGAACTATTTTGGTTTTCATGTGACGTATGACCCTGAAGGTAAGCGCGTCATGGACTAAAGTAAAACAGTATGTCGGATGTGCCATGCAATGCTCAATTACATGGGTGGGAACTAGTGCGTTAGCGCAGTTAGCTCGTTAACGTGTTGACGCCGTCCAGCCCCATGCATGGAGCGATCGGCGGTAGCTCGTTAACGGAGATTTGCCGCGTTGTGCTGTCAGCGTTAATCTCGTTGAAATTACGTTAACGCCACTAGTGGGAACACAACGAATATGACTGCACATTTACTCCGACATCATCCTCGTGCAAAGACAAGTGGAAGCAGACAAAAACAACAAGCATGCATGCTACAAACTTTACCCGAGTCATTTAGACAGCCGTTAGCACGTGATTCTCCTTATGGGGACCTGATATGTTTAATATGCTGCTGAGAATATAGTTCAGAAGAAGCGGATAGTATAGCTTTTATTTTGGAAAGAGCCATTTCTCTGTAATAAACTCTCTTTTCCAAAGATGAGTGATTTCTCCATCAGATAGATTTATTTTTTTATTACTTTGTTGTTTCAGCAACATTAAATTTAAAAACTGTACTTTTGAGTTAAAATATATATTTATAATTTTAATAAATGACAAATTAAAAAGGCATGAACATTTTTTTTGTATCGAAAAAATATCGAACCGTGACACCAAAGTATCGAACCGAACCGAGAATTTTGTGTATCGTTGCACCCCTAGTAAACAGGCCACGTGACATCGCAATTTAGACACCGTCTCAGTGGCAGAGGCACAGAAAGCCGTGCTTTAACTTGAAACAACTTGACATTCAGGGAGCTGATACGCCGTGAAATCTACACATTCCTCTTGACTGAGGAAAAAAACAGATGGGTAAAAAAATAAAAGTATGAACCGCTACAGAGAAAAGACGAACTTAGACTGATTGCAGAGACAACCAAATCATAAGGAAAAAAATCTACATAAAACAAACACGCAGGGATGGAGGCTTATCCATCTGTTAGCTCAGACAGCCATTTACAGCACCTGACTGCCGCCACAGCCTCAAGGCTCGAATGCGGCCCTGGCAAGAGTCAAGCTCAGTGTGGAGTGACAGTGTCCTACCAATGCCTGGGGAGCGTGTCTCCACCAGATGACACCAGAGCCAAAGGGCCGAGCTTCAGACGGCGGCGAGGACAGATGACATGCATGCCGCTCGGTTCATCTGAGGGAGGGAGGCTTTTTAAAAAGGCTCTTTTGAACTAGGAGAGAAATGCGTGCGCGCTTGTGTGCGTGTGTTCGTGTGAAAGGTAGTTGCTGTCAGCCATGCAATTAATGAGAGGCCCCCTGATAACCACACTGGCATACGTTCGTCGCCACGCAGCAGCACAGGCGTGTTGTGACACTTGCAGACAGGCGACCGCACTTATCCGGGCCTCCCAGTGGTCTTCATCAATCTGTTCCCCTTTTCAACAACAGACACTTGAAGACGTCACATACGCTCACATGGACATCAAGGAAAATACCACTTGAATTAAGAATTTAAATGTTATTTTTATGGCCGAAGACAGTCCACTGAACATTTATGACAACTCAACATCGAGAAACCAGAGAACTACAGCTCTATTTGCATCCAGCTTATACAGCGATTTAAATATAAATGATGCAGTTATCTTTGCTTCTCAGTCATTCAAGCTAACTGAAGCACTACCTGCTCTTATGGTTGCAGTTCAATTTAAAATAACATTACACATTAAAATATCAACTATAAAAGTGATTACATTTGTCATGTGCAATGTACAGGCTCATAGGATTGACTGTACAATTTTCAAGATTCACCTCTTCTGAATAAACAAAAGATTAAAATTCTATTAAAGTCAGGGTGTGCGAAGATGAAAAATTCCTCAATACTACTACATGCAATGTTATAATATCATCTGGAAATCTGGTTAAAAAAATAAGACATTTGCATTTATAAATAGAGTCTGGTTAGAAGGCTTGGGTGGTATCAAGCTATAAAATGGTATGCAGGTATATAGATAGAATGCTCCTTGTTCCGATAAGATGACACTGATGTGCCATCGTGAGATGATATATTGTAGTGCACTGCACAAAAACACCACCTAAGCGCAGCTTCTGATGAAGGAACATCCAGCTGAGCTCAGTGAGCTGTGAAACATGGGGCTGCAAGTCGCAAATGAAACGTAAATAGTAAACTTTAAGTATTTTGGGTTTAGTCCTGTTGACAGAAGAGAGCCAGCCAGCACAAACAACAAATATAGACTATTTGTTGATAGAAGAGTAAACACAGCAACACTTCTGGATCTACATTTAGCCCACTGACGTGCTGATGGTCTGCTCCCGTGACAAGAGTCATCGGGGCCTGCAATAAGCTGTGGAAGAAGTTATGAGCTTCCCAAACTAAAGAAGAAAATGATCAGTGTAGCTAACAATATGAGTGCTAGCATAAGCAGCCTTATTGTTAACATGCCTGTACTGAATGTGGTCATGCTACGCTGTGGTCCAGCAATTGTCAGTTTATCCTGCTATTACACGTAACAGATGCAGAAGCCTGGTATGTGCACTGCAAGCAATCTAGACTTCTAATTACACAATGGAATTTATATTTAATCATCAGTTATTTTCCATTAGTTGTAAGCTCCCAGTCACATTATCTCAACCTAATAGGTCCCTCACACGTACAGCAACTGCTCTGGAGGCTTCGTATAGACACCCGACACTAAATTCAAATTCAACTGTTGTCTAAAAATTGACTGTGCTCGCACAAACAGAAGACTTAAAAGTGTATCTTTGAGAGCGCACACGTATTGCTTCGAGCGAGCTGGGCATACCAAGGGGAGCCTCGACAAGCTGAGCCGGGGGTGGTGGTGTATTGGAATGATACGGGGGATGGACATACAGACACCTCTTTGAAAATGATACACTGCCCTGGCTGGCAGCAAGCGCCACTCCAGATCCCCTCAGACAGGCAGAGAGGATGCCAAGCAGTTGGGATTTAGACTGTAATGAGCATGGCTGCGCACACACTAAGACACACACACATGCACACACACACTCTAAGTGGCTAAGTCGACTCAACAATGCAGCCAACTGCCAAGATAACACGGATGTGTGCAAAAGAGATGAACAACAAAGCAAAACTGATAGACCGATATGAATTCCTGGCCAATGCATACCAGCATAGTCACATACTAATACCAATTAGGGTGGCCATAGTGAGGCTCTATTTACACTAAAAACACATAAAAGTACACACAAATAAAAACCTACACTTATGAGGACATTCCCCTCAGTCTCCTCCTGAAACCCATAACCTTCAGAAAAAGGATGCTTACAAACAAAGTCGACTAAAAATATTTGGGTAAATAAAATAAAAGAGGGAAGGTCTGCAAAAAACAAAGCAGACAACCACGTAAACGCACACTTTTTATATATATATATAACATCGTAATACTGTTTAACTTTCGCAGTTATTGCCAAACCTCTTGCACTCAAGTTGTGTCTAACAATGTTTTCAGATTTCAGCTCATAAACTGACATAAAATGTTAAATATTATCATAACCAGCTGAAGTGATGATCAACACAACAAATATGACTTCCTAGACCTTATTACTCCATCCTATCAAACATGTAACGAGGTTACCAAAGACAAAACAAAGAGTGTAGTTTGATTGAGCTCAATAGTGTAGCTGGATGGGCCTGTTTTTGTCCCCCTGACCTTCATGTGTCAAGACTTAAAAATTTAATTTTTTTTAATTGTGGACTTTCCAGCCTCGCATCAAACCTCTTGGTCTCTTAGAAAGAAAGGATATAATTGGGAGGCAGGAAGTTCCAGCTGAGGACGTGATTGGCCAAAGCCAAGTAGCGCTGGAAGACAGAAGACATCTGGGCATTGAGGTTTTCTCGGCGGCTGAACTCCTGCAGCACCTCCATGGTCATCATGAAGATCTGGCGGAGGCCGTCCTCCTAGAAGAAGTGGATGGAAGAACAGATGGATGCATGAGTTAAAGAGCAATAAAGTGAATACGTCAGGAGAGCGTAGAGGACAGGTGGGACAGCGGGGGACAAACCTGGAACAGTCGCTTGCAGTTACCGTGGAACTCCATGCTGAGGCCGATGCTGCTGGTCTTACTGGAGCTGGAGAACTCACTGAGCAGAGCGGTCAGGATGGAGCAGGCCAGCGTTTGCTGCAGAAGAGAATGATTGTATGATTGTGCAGGTCAATGGTTACATAAAAAGTTACACTAACATCCATCTTTTTCGAAGATTATTTGTCACGAGCCGGAAAGAAGGAAACCTTCTTGAGGCCTCACGTGAAAAGACCGTCTGCTAACTGCAAACACAGATGATTAAAGGGCGCATGTTACAGTTATCCCCATCTGCACTTTCTTTATTCTTGGAGTCTAGTAGAGTAACTTTACATGATTTACAGTTTCCTTATTCTTAATGCAGCTCACCGCTCCAAATAAAGCACCTGTCTTCTGATTGGCTGCACAAAAGATTTCAGAAGTGGTTGGAGAAGCTTTGCCGACAGCCAAAACGCAGCATCCTATCTGAAGCCTGAGGTTTGGTTTACAGGAATTACATGTATACACACTGATCTCATTGTTTAAAACTGAGGACATGTTTATTATGAGCAACTGCAACTTTAACAGTGAAAAACATCCATAAGTGTACATGTTTTAGAGCGTGCTATTGATGAATGTCCCGCGATACACAAATCGGAGAAGAAGCGAAACAAAAACAAGTTGTGGTTGGTAACAGGAGCACTAACTGGACAGCAGAGAAAACAAGAAATTAGAAAACACTTTGTGTTGCCTTTTGTATGAGCTTGTCTATGGACCAGCAAGAAGATATCCAGTCATCACTGGATATAAAAAGGACAAATCAACCCATTATATCCTTAAATTTCTTGTTCATCCAAAAGATAAACAATGATTAAAAAAAAAGAAAAAGAAAAAAGAATCTGAACAAGAGTTGCTTGATTAATATGTCTCAACAACTAATTATTGATTTTGAAATTCAATATTTAAAACACTGTACAAATTTCAATTTAAAAAAATTAGGACGCTGTAAAAATGTAAATAAAAACAGCAATGATTTGCAATTCTCATAAGCTCACCTTTTATTCACAATAGAGCACAGAAAATTATTAAACAGAGAAAATCTATCATTAAGAAAAATATTAGCTCATTTCGAATTTGATGGTAACAAAAGCTCTCAAAAAAGTTGGAATCGGGCAGCAAACGTGGTACCAAAGAGAAACAGCTGGGGGATTATTTGGCAGCTAATTAGGTAAACTGGCAACAGGTCAATAACATGATTAGGTATAAAAAGAGAATCTTAAGGAGGCAGAGTGTCTCAGAGGTAAAGGTTTACCAGTCTGCAAAAAACTCCCACTACAAACAGTGGAATAGTTTATGAAAGAAAGTCCTTGAGGTAAACTTGTGAAGATAATATTAAAAGATTCCAAAAATCTGGAGAAATCTCTGCGTGCAAAGGACAAGGCCAAATATCGACACTCGATGCCTGTGATCTTTGGAGCATATGCTCCCATTGAGATGGGGCCTTTTTCAGGGAAGGCCTTGAATATTTCCTAAACCACATACTGCATCTATAACAAGAGCATGGCTTCACAGTGGAAGAGTTCAGCCGCTGAAGTGGCCCGTGCAGACCTTTTACCAATTATAAAAACAATTTGGCACATTTGACAAGAATGGGACAGCATTCTTCTCCCAGAGGTCCAGCAGTGGGTCAGTTCCCAGATGTTTACACAATGTTGCTGCTACACAATGTTGTTGCTACACAGTGAGAAACATGGTCCTGTCTCATCCTTATTCTGTGCTCCCTTGTGAATAAAATATTGGTTTATTAGATTCCGTTTTTATTGACATTTTACAGTGTTCAACTTCAACGTCTGACGAAGACGTCATAACCAAAAAAGGGCTTTAGGGCCAGATTCAAAAGACTGGGGGAACATGGTGTCATTAGAAGGTGACCATTTGGGGGATTTCAGTGCAAACAACAACAAATAAGTTTGTGCATGATCAATAAAATTCAGTCTGATTTGTAGGGGGCGGAAAAAAACAGCACTTTTAGCCCTTTACACAACACAGTTGCCTTCTCGTATGAGAAACAAATGAAGTAGTGCCACCTACTGGATTAGGATTTCTTTTCAGAGCAGCATGCTGAAGTCATATGATTCTATTTTCTATATATGGGAGACAATTATTTTGCATTTAATGAGCAAATGTGGTAAGGCGCACAAGTACTCTGGCATTAATTTTATACCCTGGTATGGTTTTTTTTTCCTTTTTTCTCTCATAATAATCGAAGCACAGGTCCTCGATGTCCTTTCTTTTAACCGCAAGAACATGCCTGAAGCTGCTTTCTCAACATAGCCTTTGTGCCATTTCTTTCTCTCTTTTTTTTTTTTCCAACTGCGCTGTAATCTGAGCCAGATCTGAACCAGGGAGCCGGTGAGGCTCACCAAGCCCCAAATATAACAGATACGAATCAAAGCTTTAATCCAGTTTTAATAACAAGAAGTTACTCAATACCATTAATTGTGCACATCATTTGCAAAGTCTGGATAACTTCTTCCATCTTTTTGGGCAATTACTCAGTTATTCTGACAGTGTATAAATGTGACGTCTTGGAGCCATAATGTCTCAACTGTTGTTTCTTTTCAATTTATCTGTGCAAATGTATGATGAATGAAACCTAAAAATCCTCATATTTAAAAATAAACGAACAAAGACAAAAACCTTTTTCCCCTCTCTTGCTTAACCTGATGATGATGATTGATTTTGTGTACATTGTAACTAACAACACGTACTCTTTAGGCCACTGAGAGCTACTCATGTATTATTCAGCTGCGTCTCTCTCACCACTGCAGGGTTCCCGCTGCTGATGAGCTGTCCGACCTCGAGTAAGATGCTTTTGCAGTTGATGCTTTTGTCCAGCGAGCCTCTCTTCACGATGACCGCCACAGCTAGCAGGATCTGCTCACGCACATACTTCTGCAGACTAGAAGGAACAGGAAGGCATTCTGATTTATTTTTCCCGCATCCAAAACATTAAGTTCTACTGGCATTTTTGTAGTGAGGTCTGTAAAAGCTCTACATATTTAATAATATAGTAAACCACAAAGGTTTTGTAATGCATTTATTATTGTTTCTTACTTGGGTCTCTGCAAAACGTAGGTGAGAAGGAATGCCCGGAGTGACTCAATGCTGGTCTTTTCCAGCAGGATCCACTCCCGCACGACAGCCTCCATGATGGCTGTGGCTGCCTGGAAAAGCACATAGTCCACCTTACTGGTCTCTGGAGAGGGAAAAAATAACGGGACAAAAGAGAAATATTAGAAGTGAAAAAGATAGTGGGGGGAAAAAAAAGGTTGAAAATAATGGGTTAAACACTGAAAACACTTTCAGTGTTTAATTCTGAAACAAAAAAACGGCTGTATGGACATGCCAGTCTAGCAGGCTCTCACTACAAAACACGGTGGTGTGCTTCATTCATAATGTGTTTCGGTATCGTCTTGCTGAAATAAGTAGTCTTTCCTTAAAGAGATGTCAGATGGCACCAACAATCACGTCATGATCAAAGTTACAAATTCTCTTCCCCATTTTGATGCCAGGTGTTAACTTCAGCATGTCATCTTGACCATGTCTAAATACACTAAGGCTACGTGCACACTGCAGGTCTTAATGCTCAATTCCGATTTTTTTGTCTGCTTGTTCACACAACAAATAAAATGCGACAGCAAACGCGCTCTAGTGTGAACGCTCAAAGCGGCCCGCATGCACAAAAGAAGACGTCACACACAACGCGCTCTGTTTAGATCCAGACCAGACAGTATTGTTGGCCGTTAGTATAAAGACTTGTTTCGGACTTTACGTTTCCCAATTTTGCTTTAAGTTATAAAGTTCATGTCATGTCGCATTAAATCCGTCTTTTACGTCACTGACACAAGACAGACGCCAATTATCAGCTCAGGAGAAGCGCCCGAGAAGACATCGTGAACGCTTCCTGGCCATCCAGTGTAGATGTCAGTGAAACTGTTGGGAAGACAACGTTGGAGAAACATTAACATTTTATTTGTACTGTATAATCTGCAGATTCTGACAGAAATCTGCAGCTATCCTTTGAAGCACCGCTCCTCTAAAACAGCCATAAGGATAATTATTAGGTCATATGTAAATTAGGGCTGCCACAAACGATTATTTTGATAGTCGACTAGTCACCGATTATTTTTGCGATTAGTCGACTAATCAGATCATCATCCATTGGACTTACAGCGTACAGCTTATTGCACCAGCAGCATCTGGTCTTATATAACTATCATTAGCTTACAGCTTGAAGTGTTTGTGCTAACTAAAAATAAAGACAAGATGGTAGTTTATTAATTTTTAATGAAATTTGCAGATTGTTTCGGTGAAGTTTAATAAACTCCTTGCTTTCTAAAATATAACAGGACACCGGAGTAAATTCTCCAGCGTCTCACACTTCTGATAATCAGCTGTCTGCTTGACAGTTTTAGCTGTGCAAAAACTATAACTTTCATCTCAGCCAAACCGATTTACTCAGGAACAAATAAAATACTAAAGAAAGCCAAACAATAACATTTTTAAGTTATCTAAGTGACTTATATATATGTTTAACCTGACTAGCGAAAGACGGCGGTGGGTTTGAAAACGATTTGCCGGGAGTCCGGTGTTCTCACGGCTCTAGTTAGCCTTGCCCCCGCCTAGCTAACGAGCTAGTGGGTAACAGACGTCTCCGAAAACGTCGGAACGCTTTTGAAAATATGCGGTGTCCTGATAAACTGAGCAGATATTTGAGGTTTACACAGCTACATTCTCGCCTGAAAATATGTTAAACGTTTATTTTGTGACCCACAAAGAATAATAAGAGTAAAGTTAAAACTAACTAGCTGCCACCATTGTTGACAGCTGCGCTATGAATTCTGGGACACAGCTTCTTCTTCTTCGGGGTTTAACGGCAGCTGGCATCCTTGTACATGCAGTGCTGCCATCTTCTGTTTTAGTCCGTTATTACACTCTTAAATCCTACTACTCATTCCTGCGTCCTTTGTGATCTTACAAAGCTTCAAACGATGCGTCGACTATTAAATTAGCCGTCGACGAGTTTAATAGTCGACATAATCGTGACTAGTCGACTAATCGTGGCAGCACTAATGTAAATAACAAAATAACTTTATAACTTAAAGCAAAACTGAGAAACATAAAGTCCGAAACAAGTCTTTATATTAAGGCCATCAGTCAAACAATACTGTCTGGTCTGGGTCTGAACAGAGCGCGTTGTGTGTGACGTCTTCTTTTGCGCATGCAGCCGCTTTGAGCGTTCACACTAGAGCGCGTTTGCCGTCACATTTTATTTGTAGTGTGAACAAGCAGCCAAAAAAAATCGGATTTGATAAAAAAAAATCAGAATTGAGCATTAAGACCTGCAGTGTGAACGTAGCCTAAGTTGCTTCCATGTGACTGACTGTGACCAAGATGCAAGTTTCTCCTCTTTAGCCTCAAATATTTTCAGAAAGTTTCAAATTTCAGTTTTTAATTTATCTTTAGCCCAGTCTCCTTGTACTGAGCTCAGGAGGATGTTAATAGATAAAGGTCCACCAATATTATGAAAAATGTAACTTGCGTTACTGATGCATCGGTGAACAGTGCTGTCCGACATCATCCTGAGCCCACACAGTCATCTTTAACCACAAAATCAGGTTTGCTTTCAACGCAATGCCATCCCAGCGTCTATTCAGGACGAGATTTTTTTTAACGTGTACATTTTAATTGCTGAACTATGCAGCTGCTCACACAATGGGGAACTTTCTCCATTCATATTTGTGAGAGACACTTTCTATAGGCAATTATGTAACCATTTAACCCTACCTGGTAGTCAGTTACACGTGGGGTTTTCTTTTAACATGAGACAACACAGACACTTTTTTCAACCTGTTATTGCCACGAAATTTACAGTGGACTCTGTACCATTAGCAATCAAGCATGAGGTTCAAATCAGTAAAACTGTACAGTTAACACAATGTCCACCTATCTCTGTCGATGGGGTTTGTAACAAAAAGCCAATGAATACTCATATTTTGTTTTCAAAGCTGCACAGCTCACATGTTTTCATACAGTACATAAGTCACGGATCAAACAATAATAATATTCTGTACACATGAGACTCCACATACAGACCACATCACTAAAATGTCTAGATCATACCCACAAACACCACAGGTGAAGGTTTATGACAGGAAAAAAAACATGAAGGGGAGAAGACACTGAGTAGCCTTTATAAGATAAACTCATATTTATAAAACAATATGCAAGTTAAAATATTAAATACAATGCTTACCCAAGATGTGCTTGCAAATGGCAAAGGGGGACTTGGACTTCCTGAAGGAGAGGAATACATGTTCAGCATGCTGTCTCTGCTCTGTGCTGACCATAGACGGCGGTGCCTGTAAAACACAAAACAAAGTCAGTTTTCTGCAAGTGAGGTCGAACCACTTACACACAGCTTCTAAACAGGACATCAACTCTTCTCCACTGAATGACTTTGAATTAAATACCACTTTCAAAGCTTTAACAGAAGATGGCAATTTTCGAATGGCTTAACTTGTTAGCACAGTGCTGATAAAAAGTATATTTACTTCTACATCAGCTTTCAAACCAGGTTTGCAAATTTGCAACACTAGTTCTAATAAAGCTGGTCTGTATGGGAGGTTTCTAAAACCTTTTTTAAACTGAGGATTAAAGGGTTAAGAGCTCTGCGATACAAATGAGAGACGCCCCATGTAGTTATTTAAAAGCAATCAATAAAATCTTATTATGTAATGAATGGGGAGCCAGTGTAATTTGTCTGGGATTGTTTTACGAGTTCCCCGTGAGTTGCCTGGTTGCTGTTTAGTACCTGCTGTAAACAGGCGACAGCTGCATCACTTAGAAAACAACAGAATAGGGTGTAGTAGTAGTGTGAGGACACTGAGGGGTGGAGAAGTTGTTCAGCTATGTTACTGTGCAGTGTTGGTCAGACCTTATTTCAGGCAATATTTCAGAGACAGACTTGCATAAGTAAGTGTTAAGTACAGTTCTGTTGCCCAGGAAAATAAAAGGCAAACAAATTGTTTTAAACTACTAAGATATGCAATAGAAATAAACATTTTGAAGGGAATATGGTAGAATGATTATCTGTATTCTACCTGATGTTATTGTTTGTATTTGTGAAGTGTTGTTTTATCCAATTTTAATTTTACTTTCATATTAAAATCAATAAATCCTAGTCTGTATGAACTTACATGGCTAATAGCAAACATTTGAGATATTTGACAGGACACTACACAAATGGATTGAGTCGTGTTTTTTTGTTTCTCTCTTTGTTATTAAATGTAATCAATCAGTCAATCCATTCCACCATCTAACAGCTTCTGTGCTATTAGAACTGAAAGATGAGCCCTGACTGGCAGCCACTCGCTCAGCTCAATGGCAATGCCCCGAGGACAGAAAGCATCACTAAGATTGGAGACAGTACACAGTACAGTATGTACAGTGTACAGAGGAAATGTCTCGTTATAAAAATCAATACTATCGTAAAACTTGGCAGCAAATACTGTTTTTGTACCTTACAGAAGCACACAAAATAACGACAGAAAGCTTCATAAGAATGAAAAATCTAACTTACTCCAAATACACAGAAATAAAAGTGAGATAGCGCAACACAGAAATTTCTATTGAGCACGCTCGCCATGATACAGCTCAGCAGGAAAGTCACATTCCAGACCTAATTGCAGTAAAAGCAGCTCTGCGGCGAAAGGCAGCAGAGGAAAGAAAGGCCTTTTTATCTGAGAGCGCAGACACGCGTACACATACACAGACTTCATTTTTTAAGCCGCATAAACTACCATGGTCAGATGGCAGACAATGCACTAAAAAAATAATACAATCTATCATCTCCCTTGATAGTAAAACATAAATGTAAAACAGATAAAGCTGCCACAATGACACGCAGTAAATAAAACGCAGAGCAATAAGAATCAAGATCATACTATGTTAGAAATGTACTGTTTATATTCTCAGCAGCATATGTAGCAGAGTAGTATCACAGACAACCACTGTTGTGGGGTCAAGCTGTGTCTTCATGTTAAGCATATCTCAACTGCTATAGGGTGAAAGGCACGGTACACCCTAAACAGGTCGCCAGTCTACCGCAGAGAGACAGGCGATCATTCACGCTCACATTTCCACCTACAGACAATTTAGAATCACCAGTTATGCTATCATGCACGCATGAATGTCTTTGACCTGTGGGATGAAGCCGGAATACCCAGTGTCCACACAGAAAACCCCGGCCAACTGGGGGATTCAAACCAACTCGGAAGTTGCTAACAAATTTGTGAAATTACATACACTTCATTAGCAGGGACAACATCCACAATTAGTCTAACAACACATCTTTAAAAGAGAAGAGAAATAAGCTTTGATTTTAGGCCTGAATCAATGAGAGGCACAAAAATGACAAGAAACATTATGTCGGCATTTAGTCATAGAACCGGAAAGGTATGAGGTGTGGTCGCACTCCTGACATTTAGACAAAAAAACAAAAACAAAACCCAGTATCAGCTGGGCTCTGCTTTCTAGGATACGAGTGTTAGACTTGCCATTCATTTTAAAAAATTGTTTTTTTTTTTTTAAAGGGCAAAACCTTCATATTCAGCTTTTGTAACTAAAAACAAAACAAAATTATTTTCTAGGATCTTAATAGAATTTTATTCTTTGGGTCAAAACATTTTACTTTTGAGTTTCACTGCGTAGTAATGTTACCATCACCTCACAAGGTGTAGTATTGTATTTAAATGAAAAACCAAAGATACTGCTGCATCATTGCACACATTTAGAAAAGCCATCCATTGGACCTACATGGATCACTCGGTGGGCTGGTTCCCCTGGCTGCATGTATGACACTCCTATTCTAGAGTGCACTCGTCCCAAAAAAATTAACCTGATAAGCATAATGTTAACATACTGTCACACACTGGGTTAATATAGACAGTCACTCTATTAGGGAAAACTGAATATCTAATCAGCCAACAACTTGGCAGCAACTCACTGCACTTAGGCCATGGTCAACAGGACCTGCTAAAGTTGAAACAATGCATCAGACGGGAAAAAAGGTGATTTAAATTACTTTGAATGTTATATGGTTGTTGGCGCCAGACAGGCCGGTCTGAGTATTTCAGAAACTGCTGATTTACTGCCATTTTCCCCACACAGCCATCTTTAGGTTTCACAGAGAATGATCCGGAAAAGACAAAACATCCAGTGAGCCCCAGTTCTCTGGATGAAAATGCCTTGTTGTTGTCAGAGGTCAGAGTAGGGAAGTCGAGCAGAGTCACAATAACTCATAATGAGGTCTCTGAATGCACATCACACCAAACCCTGAAGGAGATGGACTACAGCAGCAGCAGCAGCAGCAGCAGAATTGGAAAACAAAAGTCTGCTGTGACATTCGGATGGTACGGTCAGAATTTGAAAGCATGGATCTGTCGTTCCTTGTATCAACATTTACCAAAGGAAATTATTCCAGCACCTTGCTGAAGGTTTCCATGAATAATTAAAAGTTCTTAAGGCATAACGAGAGTCCAACTCGGTACTAGCAACGTGTACTTAGCCAAGTGACTCGTGTGTGTGTGTGTGTGTGTGTGTACATGAATCCATAAAACAAGAGGAGCTTGATAAGCAGACATCACGAAGACACCTGCTGCTGACTGAAATATGAACATTTAGGACTTGTGCGTTTGCTAGAACACATTGTTCTCCTAACTGTGCATGACATCAGAAAGGGTGATTTTAGTTTTAAACCCTAACAAGATGGCAGAAAGTACGAGCAGACTGCGGCTAGCACTCAGACTCATGACATGCACATGGTTAGCCACTTGCTCTTAGCTGAAGTATTCAGCCTAATTTGTAGCAACGGGAGCTGTTACGAGAGGAGGGCAGAGGGTCAAACACTTGATGCGAGCGAGTGTTGGAGGAAGCACGGGATAAGCTAGCAACAGTGATATTGAGTACACCGCACCGAGATGCTCAGAGTACAAAAAAAACTTGATGTAACGGCTGAAAGGGCACCGACACGAACCGCTGAAGTTTGTGGAAAACTGAGCCACATTGGAAAGCGTCCAAACACGGAGAAATATTTTAAGGTGATGGTGCCGTGTGATAGGAACGACAGGGAACAGCGGGAGAAATGTTTGGAGAAAGAGCGGATTATTTTTTTCTCTCTGCGGGATGGAGACAACCCAGGCGCTGCGCCACGCATCGCTCACATTCTCCGGTAAAAACTGAACACATTAAACAACAACGACCGGGACCAAAATGACCCCCGCCGGAGCCCCCAACCGCCTAACTCCACCCAAGACTGAGTTAAGATACGTTCACCGTCCTTCTCAGGGCCGCAGACCGGCAGTGAATGTCTCACCATTAAAACTTTGGCAGCGCTTTCCAGCTGTGTGATCACTTCTGGTGCACCGACCGCCGCCATCATCGTCCCTCTCCAATGACGCGCCATGCGCTCTGCATTGTGGGATTACTGCGCTGGTTACCCGTCGCGTGCACACGGCGGGTTGTGTAACCACAACAAGTTTGTGGTTGCCACTGTGACGGCTCGTGCAGCCAGCAACATATTCAGTTATTATCATCATCATCATTATTATTGGTGTTGTTGTTGTTGTTGTTGGGAATGGATTAGAAGTAGATACATCCACAATCGACCTGAAAATGAATGTTATTCTTGGATTAGTTTTTTTTTTAATTTAAATCAACATTTGTTTAAACGTACACACGTATACTTATAAGTTACTAATAAGTTTTTTGTTCTTTACTATTGCAATAACGGTTACATTTCTGTCATATTTCTTGAGATCAAATTCGCCCATATGTGGCCATGAAGCTAAATACTCCTGTTCTTTGTAACAACAAACTGTAATCAGTATGGAACTTCTGTGTCATGTTCCTTTTATAAAGTAATTCACGAGAATCCAAGCTGGTTAATTTAATTTATACATATATTTTACACACAAGGACAGTGAAAGAATTTACAAATTCTCAGTTCATACATAAATGTAAAAAAAGAGAGAGCTGTCCAAATTACATCATCTATAATACTGTGTAGACATGTTTTAACATTAGCACAGGGGAACTCGGGGGAGGGGAAAAGGGGGAAAGGTTCCAAAAAATATGTATATCTGTATAAATATAAATTCAAGAGTAACAGAATTTTATCACACATTAAAGACAAGCAAAGACTTTGTAGAGTAAAAACACAAAATGTAAAGGATACATGAGTAAGTCTTGAGAAGAAATCAGAACAGAGGACATAAAGTCAGTCAAAGATTGTCAGTCACTACTCTCAAACCTTAAAAACAAAACATATCCAAGAAACACCTCACACACTTTGTGGCACTCACACACTCAGCAGAGAGCCATGGCTGTAATTATAAAGCTTTTTTTGTTTTGTTTTATCTTTTTTGTTAAAGGAGCAGTTCATCCTGGTCAGTGTGGATTGGCAATCCAGTCAATGATATTTAGAGAAGTGTTAGATGTCTGGACCAGCTGAGAGAGAACAAAATGAAGGGGGAAACAGCAACAGAGCAGTGACAATCTCAGTGAGGCGATGCATCACCACATCATCTGTGATGGATCACATTTTATCAGCTCGCAGACAAAACTTTGGCTGTGTTTACACACACAATGCTGCTACTCTACCTTAAACCACCACTGGACACAGTCATAACAAATAGCTAAACTATGTTTTGAACAATGCAACAGATGATTAAATCTGATGTGAAATTTGAACTTTGAACTATCCACTTCGGTCTGGAGAAAGAAAAACAAAAAAAAACAACCAAGGAGCAGCTTCCGAAGTTTAAACAACACCTGAGATGTAACACTGTACAGTGGTGAAAACCCTGTTTCCCTTTCCTAAAACAATGCATAGCAACTAAAACAGTTGCACAAAAATAATAACTGAAAAAAAGCTATCTGAATGCTGTGTATTGACCATTACTGTAATATTCTTAACATGTCAAAACTGTGCGTATGATCATGTTGTAAATAACTTTGTAATTGTCATCTTTGTATGTTTTTTTTAAATCATGGTTAAAGACGGTCTTGACCCATCCGTGCACTCCAATTTAAAATTTGATTCATTAAAAAAAATTAATAAATAAAATCTACAATAAACAAAGCTCTAGATTAGCAAAACAGCATTCCTGCTATTTTTCAATTTTTTAATAATATTGCAGTAATATTGCACTGTTGATTGTTGACTTTTAGTTGAAAATCTGATCTGCTCATTCTAAATTAAAGAGTGACTGTCGTGTGTAAGCACAGCAAGCGCTGATGTGAAATAGAGCACGCTCTGTTGCCTTCCCCCAATCAAGAATAACAACAGGTATAAGAAGTCTCTGAAAATTATGACCAAAGTAAGAAGGCAGTCGTTTAACATTGTGTTGCTCGTGTTAGTTAAGGCACGTTTACAGGGGAAAAATGCAAAACAACAAAAATCAACTGTAACAAATCTTATCCACACAGAATCGCTCGAAAGCTGTGACCTCTTCAGCGTCCCCAGTCATCGAGAGAAATTTAGAATACTCCTGGAAAGTTTGGGATTAATTTACCAAACAGTTCAATTCGGCAGAATTGCTGGCTGATTGTCTGTAAGCAAGAATGTACTGGATGTTAGCGTCATCTGATGAGCAGCAGTCCAACACACAACATGTCACTGGTCTGTAGTAAAAAGTACAGAGTTATACACACAAACACTTGAACTTGTGGTCATTTTGGATAAATAAAAGAACGTGTACCAAAACACTAACTCTTTGTTGAAGTTGCAAATAGAGAAAGCTATTCATATTCATATTCTTTTTTTCCTCTGAATTTCCCGAAGCCAACTTTCCTCCCTGCTCTTCATCTCCTAACTCGATTCCATCTCTCTCTCTGAAACAGAAACACTTCTGACTCCTCTCCTCTACACTCAGGGCCAGCCTGGCTGCAGCAGGAGAAGAGCCTACCTTCGAATCATCCACACCCCCACGCTCGTCGTCGAGTGGCGTCACGCACTCTGATATTCAGTTAGAAAGGCACTCAGCTCGTTACTTTCAAACCCCAGACACACTTAAGTCGACACTTCTTTCACCACAACCACAAAAAAAACAAAACATGTAATAACAATTATAATAATAATGTAAATAATATTAAACACAATAATAAGCAGCATGATGTAACTGAAAAGAGAATATATATATATATATATATATTTATATAAACCAATATATTTGTACATTTCAGAACTAAATTTTTAAAAGGATAGTAAGTGTTTAGAAAACTATATATAATGTTTTTTTGTATTGCACATAGTCATACTATCACATGTTTGGCTGTTGTAAGGACATGTTGCTTTGTTTTGTTGTTTTTCTTTCATGATATCCTCCAGATCACAGGAGATTGGTTAAGTTACAATTTACAAAGTTACAACTGTCAGACTGATCTTTGCTAAATAGCTGTACAAGTGTGCATCTTGGTGAATATGTGTGTGTATTTGGAGCTTTGATTCTCAGTCCAACCCAACTAACTAAGCCTAATCTGACCCAACGGATCCTGTATAGATCAGGGGGGTTCTCTTAATTCTCTTGAAGACTGAGAAAATATGTGAAGTGCTAGCAACGTGCCCCACAGTAAACAGATAGTATAATTTCAATACAAGAGCTTCTTTCATCTGATCTAACTCAAGAGAAGAATTTACTGCAAACTAAACCTGGCTTGACTTTTAGAGTCCAATTTAGAGCCAAGTTAGGACAGAAACTCTGTGATTGGAAGCATTTTAACAACACAAGAATATTTCTAACAGAAAACTGAGTTAAAAAGCATCAGGCTCCAAAACATTACACTGAGCTGAAGTTGGCACAAAATGAGGCAGGTGTGGATATATAACATTCTGAAAACTGCTGCAAAAAAAAAAAAAAGGACACATTTTTCTCTCACACCACAAGAATGCAACTCTTTTTTTGTGGCTGAGTGTGTGTCAAAGGACTCTGGAAGAATTTCTTTGTCCACCTAGTGTGAGCCAACCTCTTGAAACCTCAATATAGACACTGAAATCAACCTGAAATCCAACATCCCTACACTACTGAGCTGTGTGTGCGTGTGTGTGTGCGTGCGTGTCTTTGTAGCTTATTTTGCAGCAGCTGTGAAAACAGGCGCAATCAACAAGTAAACTGGTTCCACTCTTCACATTGCTGTGTCAAATATTTGAGTGTAAAGCAGCTCAGTTAGAACAGGAAGTAGATCCTGTGTCTGAAGGTCACTGTGGAGGTGTTTTAATTGTCCGTAAGACCAAAGGTGGAAGGAATGGGACAAGAGGCTCCTGGAAGAACCAGAATCTCCTTTCGACCAGTACAGTGTCTGAGTCCTGCTCTCCTGACCACCTACGCTTCACCCTCGATGTGGGTGCTCACACCTGCCGTTTCTTGGTCCCAGATGAGGGGGATGTTTTGTATATATGCATTCCACAAGGGGGCAGTGTTCATCTACCCTGTTCTTGCAGTTCAACAATCACAGAGACACATGCACACCTCTACATATACATGAGAAGAGAAGTGATAGGTGGGAGGGTCATGAGCTGAATGACAAGGGCAGGTAAGAGACACGAGCCACTCAGGAAGACTGTCAGCACGCAGCTCTACACATACACGGGCTCACACCCCTCCTCCTGCTCTCCTTCTTCCTCTTCATCTTCCTCATCCTCGTCCTCTTCTTCTTGTTCCTCCTCCTCGTCTGGGCCCATTCCGATGGCTCCAGGTATGCTTAGCGACACCTCGCTTGTCTCGAGCGGTTTAGGGTAGCGGAAGGGGCAGCCGTTATCGTCAAAGAACCTGCGGAAGGTAAACTCATAGAAGGCGTGCTCTGGGTGCTTCCCATGAGGGGAGCAGAGAGCATCCAAAGCCCGGGTGCTGTCCCCGCTGTCACTCCATGCACCGGGACCACCCTCCTCCTCCACTGGGTCAAAGTTGGATGTGTCCATTGGGTGGGCGATCTTGGGCCGGTAGGGGGCCGGCTGCTGCCGCAGATTGCTAGAGAAATCCACCTGGGAGAAGAAGGGGTGAGCCTTGATCTCACCAGCGCCATTGGCACCCAGGCGATCCTCTGCAGAGCAACACAGGCGACCGATGATATCGACAGCCTCTGGGCTCAGTTTGACCTGGGCGGGCACCTGCAGCGTGCTCTCCCAGTTAATGACCTGCAGAGCCGCGAGACAATGCATGAAGTTAAATCAACAGTAAAATATGACCCAGCTCTTGTATACATACTTAATAATTGGAGAAATTCAATGCAACAGTTTTGACTTCAGCTTTAAAGTCAATATCTACACTGACAACAGGATCTGAGTAAGACAACGTCTCTACAAGGTCCACTCAGCTACTGTTCTGGAGCTGAGAACAGTAGCTGAGAAAAACACAACACGTTGTATTGTGTTTTTCCACAATACAATCAAAGGTATATAAGATTGTGGAAAAACAGATGAACCTCATGAAAAGCTATAGCATAAACCTCATAGTGAAATTGTTTACAGCCAGATTATTGTGTTTCCAAAAACATCTGTGCAGCTGTAAATATACAGTGGGCCGTACTGCAATAGACTCAATGACTGCTCATTTACTGGATGTACTTTTAATTGGATTCCAGCTGCTGTCACCTAAGTTGACTGTAATTCCATGCTATCTCATTCTTCTTCTCTATTGTTCACAGAATTTCCTACTCATGGTTTAGGCTGCATTTTCATCCACTTGTCTTTGTGTCATTTTTTTGTGCCATTGAATTTAATTGCTCTTACCGAGTCAAGCAAAGTGAACAGAAGGAGGAAATGAAGAGCTCCTAATTTGACGTCTAAAGGACAGCAAATGCAATCTGCCACTGTTTAACTGTCCTGGTCTGCTGCAGCTGATCTGATCCGGTCACTGACTCATTAGGTCACCAATTAAAATTCAAAATAAAAGCAGGGACATCCTCCCTCTTCACTGACCTTAATCTGAGTCTCAGTGGGCGTGGGGGCAAGGAAAGGCGGCTGTCCCACCAGCATCTCAAACAGGATCACTCCCACACTCCACCAGTCACACAGCTGTGTGTAACCTGCACACAACACGCACATCAGGTCAACTGTC